ATGAGGAAATAGTAGAGCCATGGTTATTAATCATCCAGTTGGGACAGTACGATTTCAGAGGCTCTTTGGTTGCACTTATACTTACAAACTACCATTGCATTTTATAGTCAGGCTTCTAAAATTTACCTATTTTTATTTACCCTATCCTGTAACAACACAGATAACAGTGGAATCAAAATGCAGGAAGGAAACAAAGGGAAACTATTTAGTTGAAGATTTCCTACAAAGTTTTTCAGTTTAAGATAACTTTGTGCCGTTACATAGTTCCTCCTCCAATCTGATGTGTGTACCACTTAGGAAGCCTAAAGTTGGGTTTGTGGTTTTGAATTTGGATAATATACCGTATAAATATAAATGTATAAATTATGGTTAAATTCTAATATTCAAATGATTAATTATTGTCTTAATTTTCCTTTTTATTGCTGTAGTGTCATTAAATACAAAATAAAGCTTTACTTATAACAGCTAAGAGAGAAAACAAATTAAGATCTATTATTTAAATTTGTCAGTTTTTAGGCTAACCATGTAACTCTTCTCTGAATGACTGATAACAGAAGAAGCAAGTCAGTTTGATTTTGACTCTGCAGATAAAGAAATATGTACTATGATTGTCCTATAATATATATGACCATACATAGCTTGCAAAAGGTTGGGATGACAGTTGCTTATCCAGTCAGGTATATAGAAAGCTATTGTATTATTACATGGGAAAAAAAGTATGCCACAGCAGGAGCTACAGAGCACTCAAGTAAATTATCAGGGCAGTGCTGGAACTTTTAATAAGAACATCCTGTTGTATTCTTCTATTGGTGGCTATTTCAAATGCCAATTTGAATTCTAACCACATGCTATATATAGAAGGGGGTACATACCCTATTCTTCATTCCAGTTATCCTAGCATCTTGAATTTATTTTACTGATATTTAAAGAATTAGAATGGTTGCTTTTTCAGATTACCTGTTTAACATGGATTTTTTAAAACTATAGCCTGTAAAACTAATCTTACAGAAGATAGATGAAGTTAGGTATTTCACTGTCAAGTTCTTATAATATGATGTTGTTTTCTGTCTTGGAGTTATAGGCAGAAAAATCAGGGGGGTATTTCTGTTTGTACTTATCTGTACAGAAGGAATTACGCTAGGAGTAAACATTCAAGTTAAGCTGCACGAGTACTATCTGCTTGTTGGAGTACGTGATTCATTCACTGTTCCCATGTTAGTTTTGGATAAATTTCTGTATAACTACTGTTCGGTGGCTAGGTAAGATGACCGAGCTGGGTCAGGATATTTTCTGCAAGGGACAGGACCTAGTTTGTGGCATCGTTGTTAGTGGTCCTCACTGGGTTAGAAAGTTCAGGAAAACTCCTAAACTTTAATTCTTCTGAAATCTTAACGTGAGAGAATAGACAAAAGAATTTCAGTCCCTGTAGCTGTAACAAGCAGTCCCTTGTAAGGGGTCCTTCATAGTGATGGCACTATTTAGGGAGCCATACTCCTCCTGGCACAGTTGTGCTCCCATTGATACTAACAACTAAGAGAAGAATTTAAACATTAATTCTAATTGTTTTTAAGTGAATCATTGACAATTTAATCTGCTACAGAGTGTCCCTGCTAGTTTTTGCAGCAAACAATGGCAGATATAAATGGGTCTTTGAGTCCCTGGCCATTATACTTGCCTGCATCATATCACTCCTTTCCAGTATTTGTCATGCGTCTATATTGTCACAATTCCTGACTTTGTATATGTTACATCTGTGTTTGAGAATGTTTTGTGTGAAGCAGCACAAATACCACCTTGTAAAGCTTTTTACGTATATGTGCTTTTATTCCATCCAACAGACTGAGCCTGAAATTATAGAAGAAACAAATGTTGACCGTGTCAACGAGCCTCGGAGTTACACCAGGTCCCGTCAGGCCAAAGGCCACTCGGAGACCTCAACTTTAAGTTCTCAGCCCTCCATTGATGAGGTTCGACAGCAGATGCATATGCTCTTGGAAGAGGCTTTCAGCCTGGCCTCTGCGGGCCACGGAGGACAGAGCAGGCAGGAGGTGTACAGCTCAGCACCACACTTGCCCTACTCAGAGGTTGTGACCAGTGCTCCTGGTACCATGACCCGACCTAGAGGGGGAGTACAGTGGGTACCCACATACAGACCAGAAATGTATCAGTACAGTTTACCAAGACCAGTAAGTAAAACTTCTCTTTAGTAATATTATAAAGATATTTCTACTCTGAGACACATTTTTTTAAAGATGGAGCCCTATTTACATGCTTAACGCCAGGTGTAAAGCCATACTTACAGTAAATAAGTACAGCTAGTGGGGTGTATGTATATGTGCTTACCCATACCCATCTCTTGCACGAAGACTCTTAGTATCTATTTCAGCAGCAAGGTTGTCTTGTCTAAATTGTGCTTGAAAGAATGGGCTGCACTAAGCTCCAGGCTGTTCAACAGATCAAGAACTTGTTTGCATGTCTCCTCCTATTCACTGAACGCACATTAGGAAGCAATCTGGTTTTGTAGAACAGCTATGTAGGCAGCTGTATGAAACATTGAACACTTCTGCATGAGGTGCATCACTGAAGAGCATCATCGCAAGAGAGGGAACCGAGTGTAGTAATCAGTGACCTGAAATGTGGGCTGTTATTGACAATCTTGCAGTCATAGTTATTGACTTGGGACTCTAGAGATGGTTTAATTCCACAGGTTTCTTGATTGACCTTATGTAAATCGCTCTTTATCCCTCATTTTCTAGCCTCAAATGGCAGCTAACATGTCCTTACCTTACAAAAGTAATAAATAAAGAACTGAAATCCATGGATGGAAATTGTTAATGGAATTTTGTAGGTATCTAGACAGCAGTCACAGTAGCACTGTGCACACCATCGGCATGTTAAACCACCCCTGAATTCCCACACATGGTATTGTGAAACTCAACAAAATATTTTCCTTCTTATATGTCAGGTCCAAATCTAAACAAGAGATGATTGCTTTCAGATGAGAAATAGCCCATCTATCAATATGAGTATGAAAAGTTGTTCATTCTAAGGCTTTTTTTGGTCAGAAATGAATATTTTTTTGAAAGAATGCATTTCAAATGGAGTCCCTTACTCTGGCTAGAATATGAAAATAATGCAGAAAAATGTCCTCGTTTCAAAATAACTATTACTATGACTTCCTTCCATGACAATAAAAAAATACATTAAGGGATGCTGCTTCTCAACTATTCTGAACATATTTGAAAGCCAATGGCACTGCCTGCAAAGGTTCACGCTTGTGCTATTTAGATCATGCTAAAGGTTATTTCTGCACTTTGAAATTGGTTCGATGAACTTCATACAGCATATAATCATATTTCATGGTTCAAATTCGATTACAAGCTTAAGAGACAGCTAATGGGTAGTCAAATTTGACACTTCAGAGAGTCTAAAATGAAATTAAAAATATTATATGGCGACAGATTTTTAAAAAATCTAATAGCCATACTTTTTTGGTGAATGTTTCACTATTTTCTTTCTAAGACTCATTACTCTTCTAAATCATCTGTATGTTTAGGACCTTTAAGCATTCGCTTACCTTGCTGGCATTTTGAAGATAGTGTTAAAAATTGCCCTGAAGATAATTGATCACCACAGATTAGGATAGGCACAGGCTGCTGGACTTTGGATAAGGGCTGTTAATTCATAGTTTTCTGTGTATTAGTTTCACGAATACGAGCTGTACTTTAACTAAGCCATTTACTGGTTTGTTCTCAAATGGGGACAGAGGATTAGAATTGAAAATATCCAGCTGAGACATGTGGGAAGTGACCTGTGGGTAGGAAAAACATGGAAGTACTGCCTTCAGCACCTTAGCAGCTGTTTGCCTGCCCAGAATACCTCCGTTCAGCAGCCATGGGGGAGATGCTGCAAAGGGGAGCGCTCGGGAGTGGGTGGGCTGACAGGTAGAGAAGGTGTCCAGGGTGAGTGAGCAGCCTCCGGCAGCTTCGAGGATGAGAGGTACCTGAACACTGGGATGTTTGTTATACGGGGGAGGATGCAAACCAACAATTTTTATTTTTGCCCTTTCTTAAAATTCAGTTCTTAGTGGCAATTAAAAGTCAACATTAACAATGCTATTATAATTCAAAATCTGGATTCAAAAACGTTTTGCCTGCTTAGATGGAACAAATGCAGACATTGTCTTTCCCGTTGGGTCTCTATATACAATGCAAGTGTAAAGATCTTCAGCCCATAACTCTCTTCTGAGATCTGGCTCTTTGCAGCCCAGTTACACTAGACTCTCAAATTTTTACAAGAACCCACAAACTTTCCAGTAACTTCAGTGCAACTTTAGGTTTTATTATTGCAAAGGCATTTCAGAGGTGATACAAGTGCTGCGTAAGTTTTCTAGCACAGACGTTCTCTACCTTTATAATGCACAAATGGTAAACAGATTGAGGCAAAACAGCAAAAATCTGCATGCAAATCTCCATCTCAGTGTTTCCCTCTGTGCCATATTCTTTCAGGGAACCAGAAACACTCTTCAGGTCTACGTTTCTTCAGGTCTCCTCCAAGTTATGGATCTTTGATTTTTTTGCAGTCAACTTCTTGGCTAGTCCTACCATCAAACAGTTGTGTCTCTCTCCATAGTGTGCATGCATCTTCTTTTTCCTTTTTCTTTTTCCTTTTGAGGCCTTCTGTGGGTTTTTTTTTAATATGCTAGCATTAATACCTAGATCTGCAGCTCTTGTGAGGGAATGCCTGTCTGTCAAACTGCTCATGGGTGACCTGTGACAACAGGATTCCTTCATCTGGTGCTTGTGCCTTCTCCTTTTCTCCTAGCAGAGAAAAGCTAGTAAAATGCAAACTCTTAGTGTTCTGGAGCCTCCAAAAATGGGATGAGCAACACTTAGCTGGGTCCTTGTCATCCAGCTGGTATACTATGACTGGAGGATGGAGTTATAGCATCGAGTGTATAACACAAGCCCGACTGCCAGTGTTGTACCTCGGCAGATCACGTTACTGCTTTGGAAATTCACACAGCTGAGTCAAGCAGAGAGCTACGGCCAGGGAAAAAAAACCTCTTTATTACAAGGCTGGACCAGTTCCCATCTCTCCTCTTTAGTGCTCTGGAAAGAGGAGTGAGAGTAACAGAGCTCTGGGTCCCAAGGCGAGACCCAGCACCATGCAACAGGCACTGATGGACAGACTTGCAGGCTGAGTGGCTGGTAATGTATCCAAGTCCTCAGAGCTTCTCTTCATTTAACAGAGGTAAAGTGAGAGTATTTTACCAAAGTTCAGCTACTTTCAATAACAGTTACTAAACTAAGTATAAAACAGGACAGCTAGCAAAGCAAAACCAAATCCAGCTGAAATCAATAACTTTGCATTATTCCTGGATTGCAATTTAATAATCAAATTAGTTAAATCATTCAATGAGTAAACAAAGACACTGCACTTTTAATTCCTATGGTGAGATGTAAGGAGATGGATATTTCTGTAATTAGAAGGCAACACTGAATAATTTCACCCAAGACAAATACATCTGTAAGTTGGAGGTGGTAAAAATATTTTAAGACTGCAACGAGGGAAATGTAGCCTTAAAGTTAACTGCAAAGTTTCTCCTTTAGACTTTAGTTGTTGTGTGCTGATTTAACGTTTCTTTCCTGCATCCTGACAGGCGGTACCTTAGACTTTTGTGGGTTGTAGAAGACACTGGTGCAGGTGTCTGCTGGTGGCTGGACTTTATCTTCCAGAGGGTTGTGTTGTATGTCTTCTGGGCCCAAAGGCTGAAGTTTCTCTGCTAAACTGCACTTATTACTTTTTAAAATTCTTCACTGGTCTGCTTTTTAAATTGTCAGTGTTTTAGCTACAACAGACTCCTTCACTGGCATTTCTTCCTGAAAGGCTGGTGTGTGGTCTGCAGTCTGGTACCTGCGCAGTCTGTGCTGAATCTCAAATTTAATTACTTCTGCCAGTGATTGTTATAGACTTTGTATTATACAAGTCCTCATTTTCCAACAAAATAGGGTTTGGAATCCATGCAGAATATTTATCTTTTTAAGTTGTTTTGGTTTTTGGGGTTTTTTTGTTTGTTTGGTTTTTTTGGTGAACAACAAAAGTGAAGCAACATTTTTTTTTTAAAGGATAAACTCATTTTGAATAATAAAATTAGGCAAATTTTCTGTGAAATCAGTTGTTGGGGTTTTTTTCTGATTGGATTTACAACAGTGTAGAAATTTCAGTGAAGTGACTTTATTTCTACAATCATGCCAGTTAGCCTAGAACCTAAGGGCTCATTTAAATCTGTAACAGACAGGCCTTTTTAGTAAAACTTTGGTTTAATTTAGCCTCTGAACATTTTTTTCCATTTATGTGTTGCACGTAGGAAAACACTAATGCTCCGACCCATTGGAGAAATTCTAGAAATTTTATTTGAGCTCCCTCTCGTAACGCTTTTGGTGTCTGTGGAAGCTCAGCACAGAGGACTGATTGCTGTCTGCCAGAACAGACTGTTCCTCAGCATGGCGTAGCAGATCTTGTCACAGGATTTTTCACTTTAATAGGATTCCCTCTGGCCAGCCATTAGCAAAATATTGCCACTCACTCAAAATTGTTCATCTCCTATGTAAGCAGCAAAATAAGTGCTTCAATTTTCTGTTTACTACTTTTCCGAAAAATTTTCAGTGCAAGTCACAGCACGTTTGTGAACTGTTCTTTGTGATCCCTTAAAATGCCTCCTTTGATGTCCATATACTGAAGCACATCCATTAACGCACAAGAGAAAACCCAAATCTACCTCTGTGTCTCTGTCTACCCTGTTATACTCAAACAGTATCTGGAGTCACTGACCAATCTGAAACATTAGCTCCTGTGCTGTTCCTTTAGAATAGGGGGAAAAAAAGAATTTCATACTTGGTACAATTGCATGCTGAGAGCAAGACGTGGAATGAAAGGCTTGTGGAGCCAGAAGGAAGTGTTCGGTTCAGCCTGTGAGAGCACTGCCAGCTTTTCACATGCAGAAGAGGCACTGCGGACCATTTCAAGTCCAGCGCTATTAGGAGAAACCTAATTGAGGTTTTCTTTGATGCGAATAGCATTTGTTTTTTCTATACAGTTCTTTCATTAAAAATCAGTATTTCCAACCCCTGGCTAGGAAATGTACCATTGCCTTTTTAGATTTTTTTTTTTTCCCACCTAAATATAGAAATACTTTAAATACCATTTTAGCATGGCGAAAGTAAATATTAGGAGACTTTGTAGGTGGCATGAAAGGAAAAATTATTTTCACAGACATGCCTTTGAGGAACTCTACCCTGCTCTAAAAGGGGTGGCAGTGAGAGGCGGGAGAAAGATGCTTGGTCCGTATTGCTTTTCCCTTAGAGACACTGACATCAAAAGTCAGTATTTGATAAGTTACCTTTCCTCTGCGTTAACCCAGTTTTGCAGCTATTTGAGAAAGGTGGTGTTGGAACACCATCTAAATGTGTAATTTTTAAAGATGATTACTGAAAGAGAGTGGTTTTTGATATTTAGTGTGGGATTTATATTGCCAAATTCAAACCTAAATGTAGGTGTTAAGTCTGAGCTAATAATGTAAATCTTCTAGGCTCTTTCTACAGGCAGGAGATAGAGAGTGACTCATCCCATGGTAATGTGTTTTAAGCTTTCTCTGCTGTTTATGGAGGGAGCTTCTCTGGCTAAACCAGATACCTCTTCTTTAGAGGGCCAAAGTCCCACCATTGGACTTTGGACTCTAGTTTTTGTCAAAATGCCTATGTCTTGATACTGGACAGCCTCCCCATAATTTGCTGTTTGCTATTGCTCCGGTCTTATCTTTAATCCTGTGCATTGCTCTGAAGCATCATCAATAACAGCAAAATAAAAAAAAAAAAAACCCAAACCCAAAACACGTGTTGAAGAAAAGTGTCAATGAAGTGCTAGAGAGGTATCATCCTTCTGTCTTTAAGTATATTTAGCAAAATTATGACCTCTAATTTCATAGAATCATAGAATCATAGAATCATTGAGGTTGGAAAAGACCTCTAAGATCATCGAGTCCAACTGTCGACCCAACACCACCAGGTCCACTAAACCATGTCCCTAAGCACCTCATCTACATGTCTTTTAAAGACCTCCAGGGATGGGGACTCAACCACTTCCCTGGGCAGCCTGTTCCAATGTTTAACCACTCTTTCAGTAAAGAAATTTTTCCTCACGTCCAATCTAAACCTCCCCTGGCACAACTGGAGGCCATTTCCTCTCGTCCTATCGCTTGTTCCTTGGGAGAAGAGACCGACCCCCACCTCGCTACAACCTCCTTTCAGGT